TCGGACCAGGGGGTCAGAAGGGTCCTGAAGGGCGCCCACGTCCGAGCTCGTTCCAGCGACTTCTGCTGAAAGCTGTCGCTGCATCGACTCCAACTGCGTTTTCAGACTATCGCGTTCAGCCTCCACCGCCTTGATCCTGGCCCTTGCCTCCTGCAGCTGCGCGTTCAGAGTGGAGACCGTGTTCTGCAGGTCACGCAATAGCGCCTCCAGCTGACGTGCTTCCCTGAAATGGTGCGCACCAGCAACTACGGGACAAGCCCTGAGAATAACACGTATCGAGAAAGGCAGACAACAAGCAAGTGGAAAGAACGATTAAACAGTCATCCAGCCGACGTAATGAACAACGGAGCTCAGCTCATAGAAATAAAATGCATAACACATTGGCTAGCGGAGGGGGCGAGTGGGGGGCCGGGGGGAGGAAACGTAGGATGGAGTTGAGCAACAATTCAAGAACTGGCACCGTAGCTATGAGCGTGTTGCGTTTGCTTACCTTGCGACCGTTCACGCCTAGCGGGTACTGCCGGGTTATTAGGCTGCGAGGTGTGCGGCGCCAGCTCCGTCTGGCGAGCCTCCGCAGAGCGCACATCTGCCGCGCGAACCGCCGCAGCGCGGTCCTCCACCGCGCGAACCTCCGTAGCTCGAATCTCCGCCGCTCGAATCTCCGCCGCCCGAAGCTCCGTCGCCCGAAGCTCTGCCGCCCAAACCTCCGCCGCCCGAACCTCCGCCGCGCACACTTCCGCAGCGCGAACCTCCGCTGCGCGCAACTCATCGGCGTTTCCCGCTTGGACGCCGTCCGCATCATCTGCATCGTCGTCGTTCCCGTCTTCGTCGTCGCTACCAGCTTCGATGTCGTATGCGATGAAAGGATCCACGCCGCCCTCCGCTGCGGCCTCAATCACTTCTGCCATCATCAGACCCGGGGCTCCGGCGGCAGGCACGGGGGGTGCAGGGAGAGCTCCAGTATCTGCGCATGACGCGATACCACAGACTATGCCGCCTGTGGTTGGTGCGCCGTTTTGCGTGGTGTCCATTGCTTCTGCCACCGGTGCAGGGTTCGCGCCTTCTGCTTCTGACGAAGTGCCGGCGGTAGGGTTGTTAGCGGATGGCGAGCCTGCACGAATGTTGCCATTCGCACCAGAGGATCGACCACGCGCACCAGAGCCGGCGGCAGCACGTTTCCTCTTAGACCCGCCCCGACGGCCTGCAGCTGCCGTCTTACCAACCGTGGGAGCGCCGTGGAGAGTGTTGACTGCAGCTGTTTTTAAGGCAGCCTCTTTAGCTAACTGCCGCCTCTTAATCTCTTCTGTAAGAACGTCATCTCCCAGCTGTGACAGTGCAGAGGCATCGAGCAGATTGAGAGCAGAATGAGGGTGGGGCAAGGTGACCCCTGCTGGATCTGGCAAAACTCTTTTCCCGGTGCCTGCCTGCACTAACTGTCCCCCGTTCTGAGCCATAGGTTTGAGGATAGTGATGGTTGACGACCAGTTAAACATACCAAATGGGGAAAATGCCATGACGCAACCAGCCAAGAGCTTTTTTTTTGCACGGCTTATTATATGACATTTTTAGCGACACAGTGAATGTTTGCGACTTCTCAACCCCATATGTCCATTATTTCCCATGCCTTTTCCCGGAAAATGTTACTGTGAACTTTGATTCGGCAAACGAGGAAGTAAGGTAACATGCATATATGTGAATTAATGTGCCTAAACTAAAAAACACACCCATAAACTATGCTATGAAACTATGATATTTCAAAATGTAGTGATCTAGCGCGGCGTGAACGAAAAAAGTGTTGAAGTCACAGTTGCGCGTCAAACACGAACTTGTTTGATATTTACTCGAAAGCAAATGGAACAACCACAGTCGCAGTCAAGCAGTTAGTTTACAACTAAAATTTTCCATCTCGTACAAGCACCACTTCGAAAGGTGCAGGTGAGACAAACGTCGCCACCGCGCAGACCTCGACTCCAACAGAGCTGATGTCACGCGTGTGCGGCGCGCAGTGTGGCACGTAGCTGGAGAAAATGCTTGAATGTGTCTCAAATTCGACTATCGTGCTGCCAACACGACTGTTATTGCCGCAGAATGAACCAATCGGAAGCTGCCACCATCTGTGTTAGCAACGGGAAGATTTCGACCGACTAATGCGACACCGCCATCCACATTCAGGTGCACCCCACAGTGTGCAACGCGAGGCAGTTATCCTTGTCTGACGTTGTCGCGTGTGGCAGCTTTCATTGCATCGATGGTGACTTAATAATGAGGAAGCGGGACAAAGTATGCTGCCTGGTACTGACTGCAAACGAATTGGGAACGTAATATAAATTACAGATTGAAGTATTTGACTCTTAAAAGGCTAAGGCAACCTAGATGGCTTTGTTTGCCTGCCAGGCCACTTAAATATACTACCCAGTATGAAGTTTTCACCATGCAAACCTATTAACGAACCACTTTTCAGCGTCTTTGTCCGGTCGCACTAACTGTACCGCGCGCTTGATGCTATCAATACTAATTACTCAGTACCTCTGATTAACTCCCTCCCAGTGCAAAACCTTGCACTTGGCGGCTGCATCAATGCTGGCCTGTTCCCTGTAGTACTTGACGAATGCATAGTTTTTAACCGTGCCCGCAACCTTGGCATGAAACAACAGAAGGGTTTTCGCAAACCACTCCTCGTCCCCGTCTGAGCCCTCACCTTTGACCGCCACATCAGAAAACCATTGACGACCGTGGTGCATGGGCAGGGCGCGGATGCGGTGCGGCAGGCGACTATACTGCGCATCAACCGCAGCTGGCATGGCGAGTTCCCAGTGGACCTGCAAAGGCACCGTCAACCAGAAGAGTCAGATTGTTTGGGTACGATTACAAAAGCTACGACGGGGCAGGAATGGACGTCGTACATACATGTACTTCCTTGATAGCTTCCCCATTGCCGTCATAGCCAGGTGCCCTATCCAATGCCGCATGCAAGTGTTTCAACTCCTCGCCGATGATGGCCCGCAACGGGCCATCACGCTTCGCATCCGGTACCTGAGGGTATGGGGCTCCAACACGTATTTCTGGCACGTGCAATGCCCAACTCCTCTTGGATAGAACCCGCTCGCCTGTCCGTTGGGCCTGCAGGCATGGAACACCACCATCATCTCGTTACGTGTATTCCATGTTCGATGGAAATAATCAAGAACCATACACATAAGTCTAGTTCTTACCTTCACCATGGCGGTGTCATACTTCTTCTTCGCCATGAGTTGTGGCGCGATATACTGAAGACGAAGCCGTGCCTCTTCGCTGCCGACGATTTGGCTATTGACAGACCGTTTATTTGATGCCTGGTAAGGGTTTTTTATGTACTCTATGTGCAGATGCTCGTATAGTTGTGCAGAACAATGCTCGGGCAAGCCCGACCCACGAATGGAGTCTATGTAGTGACTGATGAGGTGCATCTTAATGAAGTTCCAATCCGACGTGTGCGGGAATGCAGTCTTGAGGTTGTGTAACATCCTGCGTATAGGCCAAAACATGTCGATCAATATTTAGCAAGCAGTCGGAGAATGAACGCAACACACTGTGAACTATACATCCACCGGTGTGCCTTTGTCTTGAACTCAAGAAGGGAGGTGTCGGTGTGTTCCGATGCCCGCGCGCACTCGAGGTACCACTCGATGTATGAGACGAGTGCGTCCATCTGCGGCTGCGTAATAAAACCCTTCACGATAAAGGGCAGAATCTGCATGACCGACTGGTGTTCGTATGCTTGATAGTTCGCCCCCTTTTTGAAGTACTGACCCGCGGGTAAACGCATGTTCCCCCCTCTAATACTTCTCTTGTAGTACCTAAGGATTCTGTCCAACTTCTTTCTATCTGCCAGTAACTGCACATGCGTGCGAATTAAGTCGACAATGTGCTCGAAAAGGCCCAAATCTGCTTGGTGCATCACATCGAGCAGCACCGCAAGGTACGGGTTGAGAATGGTGTCGGACTCCCACCTCCAGCCACCTAGGAAACTCTGCAAAAACCAGAACCAGCACCTAGAGGTTAGTTCTGCACATGGTATAGCCCATAGAATGACCCTAAAACAGCACCCACAACATACTATACCTGCACAGGGTGGGTGGAGAAGGTTGCCTCCGCATCTAGTGCGAGCCGGCCTTCTAAGATGTCTCGCACAATGGTGTCCTGCTCGAATGGTGTACGAGCTTGGATACGATCCTGCAGCACTGCCAAGTGCTTTTTGTCCACCTTGCAAATTGAACACGGAAACAAAGTACCCAAGGATTTTGTGCACGTGATCTTGCACGACTCTGGGTAGTCCGACACATAAGCGTACAAATAGGGCCACACATTGATTGACTCGCCTGGAGCATTCTTCATAGCTATGCCGGTGTAGGATGCCGTCTTAAGAGATTGCAGCACCTCTCGCATGATGTAATTGTGGACTTGCATCTTGTCCCCTACGTTGTACTCTGCAGAAACTCAGGGAGCTGTGCTAGTAGCACATGCCCAAAGGGTTGCCACCTGTCGTCCTTATCAATGTTACCCAACGTGAGATACACAGGATGACCCTTCGCCTTCCCTCTATGATCCATATGCGTCTCGTCACCCGCAAGGATCAAAGCAGCCACAACTCCATCCGGATCCTCCTCCCGCACCAAAGTTTGCAACCTCTCCCACCATAGGCCTGTCTCGGGGGTACTGTACACCCTCACGTTCCCCACATATTGAGGATCTGCATGGAACACCATCTTGGCAGCCAGCTTGGGGTTCTTCAACAGGTCCTGCAGAGCAATCAACGGATCACAATACCAATACTCCAGCCAAGCCTTGTTACATGACCGGATGGTCTTTCGTCGCCAACCTCAGTGGCCATCCGTCGCCCTAGACTCAGCGTACACCTGCACGTCTCGGTAGGACTTCCAATCTTGTATTTCAAGAATGGTCTTGCGCAGGATTTCCAACAGAACGTTAATCTGACTGATAGAGAGTTGGTTGGAGAGGATCTAGTGCGCAAGAGCATCCTTGAGGTTAAACTGAGGGGCATCTTCCTCTTCCTCCAGTGCAACACCTGCTTGAGCTCCCTCCCCACCATCATCATCAGCACCAGATACAGCAGCGTTACTAGACGCATCGTCCTCTTGTTCAAAGGGCAGCGCGCTATCTACTGAATCAGAGGATGAGGAAGTATCACTAGTGTCTGTTGGATCAGCACGAGAAATAGGAGGTACATCAATACACACATCTTCCGCAACACCCGTTCCTACATTTGCATGCACAGGCTCCAACCTAAGTACTGCACGCGGAATGGGATTAGGAGGGATGAAGCTCGACCTTGCACGCTTGGGGCCCTGCAGCTGCTCGCTACTGCTAATGAGGTTTGCAGGGCAGGAGTTGCTCTGCATGTGGCGTCCCAAACCCGATCGAGTGTCGAATGCATAGAGACAACATCTTGGGCAGAAAAATGACACCTGCCAGAATTTTGGGAGTAGGGGAGAAGGGGGAGACGGGAGAAGACAAGACTTGAAGGGCGGGGGAAGGGGGAGGAGAGGGAAGAAAGGCTTACGAGGACAGGAGAAGGGAGAAACAAGAGAAGACAAGCTTAGGAGGGCAGGGGAAGGGGAAATTAGAGAAGACAAGCAACTTGAAGGGCGGGGGCAGGGGGAAACCAGAGAATACATGCATATGAGGGGAGGGGAAGGGGGAAACCAGAGAATACATGCATTTGAGGGGAGGGGAAAGGGGAAACCAGAGAATACATGCATATGAGGGGAGGGGAAAGGGGAAATCAGAGAATTCATGCATAGGTGGGGAGGGGAAAAGGGAAACCAGAGAATACAAGCATAAGAGGCCAGTGGAAGGCCGAAACCTGAGAAGACAAGCATATGAGATGATGGGGAAGGGGAAAACCAGCAAATACAATCACAGGATGAACGGGGAACTAGAGAATACAAGCATAGGATGAAAGGGGTAGGATGCAACGGAGCATAGCGAGGACGAGCGTACGGGAGAGAGAAGGTGCACTGGAGGAGAGAAACAGAGAGGAGTGATGGAGACGGAGAACTAGAGAAGATTAACAGGTGGGGATGCGTGTGTAGGCGCACATGATAATAGAAACAAACAGGAACAAGAGAAAGAGTGCACACTAGAAGAGAAACAGAGGGAAGAGAGAGAGGGCGCACTGGAGAAGAGATTCATAGGGGAGCGAGCGAGAAGGCGCAAAGGGGGGAGAGGAGCAGAGGGGAAAAAGACAAATTGTGCATGGGCGGATAGGCGCAGAGGGGAAAGAGAGAGCATGCGCACGGGAGGAGCGGAGCAGAGGGGAATGGGACAAACTCGCATGAGAGGAAACTCAGGACATGTCACGAGGAATGGGGGCGAGGCGCGGAATGGAGGGTGGGACAAGTGAGAGCAAGGAATGAGAGCAGAATAGAGGGTTACGAGAGAGATCGTGCACGTGAGGAGTGAACCAGAGGGGGACGAGAGAACGCGCACATGAGAAGAGGAGTAGAGGGGAATGTGAATGAAGGCGCAAGGAATGAGAGAATGGGAGGGGAAGGAGAGTGAAGGCGCACGGAATGAGAGAGTGAGAGGGGAATGAGAGGGAAAGCACACCCTAAGAGAGAATGAGAGGGGAAGGAGAGTGAAGGTGCACGGAATGAGAGAATGAGAGGGGAATGAGAGTGAAGGCGCACGGAATGAGAGAGTGAGAGGGGAATGAGAGTGAAGGCGCACAGAATGAGAGAATGAGAGGGGAATGAGAGTGAAGGCACACAGAATGAGAGAATGAGAGGGGAATGAGAGTGAAGGCGCACGGAATGATAGAGTGAGAGGGGAACAAGAGGGAAGGCACACCCTAAGAGAGAATGAGAGGGGAAGGAGAGTGAAGGTGCACGGAATGAGAGAATGAGAGGGGAATGAGAGTGAAGGCGCACGGAATGAGAGAGTGAGAGGGGAATGAGAGGGAAGGCACATCCTAATAGAGAATGAGAGGGGAAGGAGAGTGAAGGCGCACAGAATGAGAGAATGAGAGGGGAATGAGAGGGATGACGCACGGAATGAGAGAATGAGAGGGGAATGAGAGGGATGGCGCACGGAATGAGAGAATGAGAGTGAAGGCGCACGGAATGAGAGAATGAGAGGGGAATGAGAGTGAAGGCGCACGGAATGAGAGAATGAGAGGGGAATGAGAGTGAAGGCGCACGGAATGAGAGAATGAGAGGGGAATTAGAGTGAAGGCGCACAGAATGAGAGAATGAGAGGGGAATGAGAGTGAAGGCGCACGGAATGATAGAATGAGAGGGGAATGAGATTGAAGGCGCACAGAATGAGATTTTGAGAGGGGAATGAGAGGGGAAGGAGAGGGATGGCGCATGGAATGAGAGAATGAGAGGGGAATGAGAGGGAGGGCTCATGGAAAAGGAGGAGCGGGTGGTAGGGAGAGAGAAGGCGCAAGGGAGGAGAGGAGCAGCGGTATATGTGATAGTATACGCACAGGAGGAGATGATGGGGACAAAATGCGAACGGCGCGGAGGGGAAAGAGAGTGCACACACAATGGAAGAGAGGAGCAGCGGGGCATGAGAGGGTACGCTCAATGGAGGAGAGGCGCAGAGAAGGAGAGTGTACGCTTGCGGAAGGGAGGATTGTCAAACATTATATATGTTATGCTTGTGTAGGCTACAGTGGGTTAGCCTATAGGGGGTACACAGTTCTAGGGTTTACTACTTGTACTCATTTTCACTTCTAGTTCATTCATTCCTGTTCGCTTATTCTCACATGGTATAGAGCGGGTCCTTCTACGGACCGTTTTTTTTGGGCCCACCGAAGCGCCCCCCGAGGCGCGATCTTTTTTTTTTAGCGACCCCTCGGGTCGCCATTTCCCCTGCGGCCCCGCCGCCTTCACTGTCGCGGCCCCGCCGCCCTCTTTGACGGGGCTCCGCCGCCGGCCCTTACGCGGCCCCGTCGCCGGCTCTCACGCGGCCCCGCAGCAGGCTCTGTCGCGGCCCCGCCCCGGCCTTTACGCGGCCCCGCCGCCTGCTCTCACGCGGCCCCGCCCCGGCTCCTTCGCGGCCCCGCCGCCTGCTCTCGAGCGGCCCCGCCCCGGCTTCTACGCGGCCCCGCCCCGGCTTTCACGCGGCCCCGCCGACGGCTTTGTCGCGGCCCCGCCCAGGCCCTTACGCGGCCCCGCCGCCTGCTCTCACGCGGCCCCGCCCCGGCTCCTCGCGGCCCCGCCGCCTGCTCTCGCGCGGCCCCGCCCCGGCTTCTACGCGGCCCCGCCCCGGCTTTCACGCGGCCCCGCCGACGGCTCTGTCGCGGCCCCGCCCAGGCCCTTACGCGGCCCCGCCGCCTGCCTCCGTCGCGGCCCCGCCCCATCCCGGCCCAGCCGCCCCTTCGCGGCCCGGTCGCCTCCTGACGGCCCCGCCGTCCCTTCGTGACGGCCCCGCCGTCCCTTCCTGACGGCCCCGCCGTCCCCTCCTGACGGCTCCTGCCGTCCCCTCCTGACGGCTCCTGCCGTCCCCTCCTGACGGCTCCTGCCGTCCCCTTCTACCGGCCCCGCAACTGCACCTGCTGGCCCCGCCGCTGCACCTACCGGCCCCCCACCACCCACCCCCCCTTTTCCCGTCGCCTGTCGAGGCGACCTGAGGGGGCCGCTTGAGAGGCCAGCAGAGGGGTGGCAGGTGTGTGGCCTCCCCTGCTTCTCCTCCTCCTTCATCTCCCACTGCAGCAGCCAAGCCGCTCACCTGCAGCAGCCGAGCCGCCCCACCGCCGAGCCGCCCTGCACCCGAGCCGCCCAGCAGCCGAGCCGCCCTGCCGCCGAGCCGCCGGGTCGCTGAGCTGCTGAGCTGCAGTTGCTGCCGAGCCGCCCTGCCGCCGAGCCGCCGAGTCACCGAGCTGCTGAGCTGCAGTTGCTGCCGAGCCGCCTTACCGCCGAGCCGCCCGAGTCGCCCGAGCCGCCGAGCCGCCGAGCTGCCGAGCCGCTGAGTCGCCGAGCCTACTCTTCCCACCACTGGTGAGCTCTTGCCCTGCTAGCACGCTGCGCGTCGCCTGCTTGCCTGCCTGCCTGCCTTTTGGCTTGCCTGGCTGCCTGCCTCCCTGCTGCTAGTCCTGCTCCTGCTTCTACTTGCGGAGCCAAATGCAGCCCCAGCGACGCCGGCGTGAGTCCCTCACGCCCCAGCAGCTGCGTGAGTGGTACGCTGGTTGGGGCTGTAGGGGTGGCGACGCTACTCCTACTACCACTCCTGCTGCTTCTACTCGTGGTGGCGGCCAGATGCAGCTCCCGCGACCCTCTCGCGTGTCTCTCACGCCTCGCCAGCTTCGTGAGTGGTACGCTCAGAGTGGAGGGTCTCTCAGTGCTGTTCGCTGCTCTTACGTGATTCGCACTGGTACTCGGACTGGTCAGCCTTGTGGGACACATAGTCATACACCGTCCCGCTGCTTCGCCCGTCTGAGCGACGCCTGGCGTACCGTGTTTGGCGACGAGGCTGAGCTTCCCGACTGGGTGGAGTTGCTTAGGCAGAGGGTAGATATATATGCTCTTGACTATGATGCTATTCTCACTGCCATGTATGCATTGCCTACTAGTGCTGACCGTGCCGGTCACCTGTGCGTCCCGCCTGACCCAGGTATAGGACCTGCTGCTCTAGCTACTGGTGAGGCTGCTGCTCTGGGTGCTAGTGACTCTCCTGCTCCAGGTACAGGTGCGGCTGCTGCTCTAGGTGCTAGTGAGTCTGCTTCCTCAGGTGCGGGTGAGGCTGCGCTCTCAGGTACCGCGTTGGCTTCGGCCTCCCTCACCTTTACACTTGACTCTGGGGCTTCTCGCTCTTTCTTTCGGGACCGCACCACACTCACGCCGCTTGGTCGGCCGGTTGCGGTCTCCCTGGCTGACCCCTCTGGGGGTCTTGTCCTCGCTCACTTCTCCACTGTCCTCCCGTGTTCGGCTGCCCCCTCGGGCACCCTTTCTGGCCTGTACCTCCCCTCGTTCTCGACGAACTTGGTGAGTGGTGCAGACCTACAGGATGCGGGGGTTCACCAGTTCACTCCTGCGAGTCAGCGGGTGACCCACTGCACGGACGCACGCACAGGCCGGCACCTGGCCACGTTCTCGCGTCGGCCGGGGTCGAGCCTCTACACCCTGACCACTGAGTCTCCTCCTGTCCCCGCGTCCGGTCAGGTAGCAGCGTCGGGTCAGGTGTTTGCTGCTGCGTCCAGGTCTGGTCCTGAGTCTGCCCCCTGTTCGTGTCGCCTCCTGTCTCACGAGACTCTTCTGTGGCACCACCGTCTAGGCCACCCCTCCTTGCCCCATCTTCGGGGCATGGCTTCCCGTGTCCTTGTCTCTGGTCTTCCCCAGTCTCTCCCTCCCCTTCCTTCGGGACCAGGACCTTCCTGTGTCCCCTGTGTCGAGGGGCGCCTCAGGGCTGCTCCTCACTCCTTCCTCTGCGTCTGTCTGTCCTCCGTCCGTCGGGGGTGAGTGTGCTCTTGGCACGGACGTCCTAGAGGACAGACAGGAGGAGTTACAGTGTCTAGCGGCTGCTTCACCTCATCTCGCGTCTGTACTGCTTGCCCCTGAGGGAGACCCGGATGGCAGTTCTACCACCCCTCCTCTCGTCGTGTTCTGTCCTCCCAGGACGTCACGTTCGACGAGTCAGTCCCCTTCTACCGCCTCTTCCCCTACCGTACTCCTTCCCTTCCCCCCCCACCGGACTTCCTAGTACCAGTTCCCCCCCCGGTAGACCCCCTCCCCCCTCAGGTTCCTGCCCCTTCAGGTGTGTCCCAGGTAGACACGGTCGAGCCAGTCGAGGTTGCTGCTGAGTCTGGTCCTGGCGCGGGTGCTGAGCCTGGGGGTGCTGCTGCTGGGGGTGCTGAGCCTGGGGGTGCTGAGCCTGGGGGTGCGAGGCCGGGGGGTGCTGAGTCTGGGGGTGCTGAGCCGGGGGGTGCTGAGCCGGAGGGTGCTACGTCAAGAGCTGCTGAGCCTGGGGGTGCTGGGCCTGGAGGTGCGGAGCCTGCGCCTGCTGGACCTGGGGGCTCTCCGGTTCTTCCGTCTCGGCGGGAGCCGCTCTCTCCATAGGAGCTGCGCGAGTGGTTTGCTCGCCGCTGGAGGCGTGCTGCTGGAGCTGGAGCTTCTTCGCCTGCTGAGGGTTCTGCCGGTCCCGGAGCTGCTGGACCTGCGGGTCCTACTGGAGCTGGAGCTACTGAGTCTGGGGGTGCTGAGTCTGGAGCTGCTGAGCCTGGAGGTGCTGAGTCTGGAGCGGCTGTGCCTGGGGGTGCTGAGTCTGGAGCTGCTGAGCCTGGGGTTTCTCCTGCTGCTGCGTCTCGCCGGGAGCCCCTCTCTCCACAGGAGCTGCGTGAGTGGTTTGCTCGCCGCTGGAGGAGTGCTGCTGGAGCTGGAGCTTCGTCGACCGTCGAGGGTGCTGGTGCTGCCGGTCCCGGAGCTGCTGGGCCTGCGGGTCCTACTGGAGCTGGAGCTGCTGAGGGTGTTGGTGCTGAGACTACTGCTGTCTGTCCTGGCGGTGGTTCTGCTGCTGGTGCTGCTGGAGGTCCTGCCACTGGAGGTGTTGGTGGCGCTGGTGCTGTCGCTGAGGGTGCTGGTGCTGTCCCTGCTGAGTCTGGAGCTGCCGCGCGGCCTCGGCCGTACTTCGTTCCGCTCCTACAGCAGGTTCTTGGTCTTTCTCCTTCGGTAGAGTGTCCACAGCCTGTCCAGTCGCAGTCACTGTTGGAGCCTTCCTCTCCTCTGCCTGCTCCCTCTCCTTACACTGGTCCTACTGGAGGTCTTGCTGAGCGTCGTGAGCCTGCGTCTCGTCCCGCGTCGCCTGTTCGTGCTGCTCGCGTTAGTGGTCGCGGTTCGCGTCAGCGTCCTCCTCCTGTCCCTGGCACGCACCGGATCTCTCTGCGTCCGTCCACTGCTCCTCTGCGTGCCCCTTTGCCTTCTCCTCCTGAGTCCTCTCTTCCTGCGCTTGCCGACCCTGAGTCGGACTCTCTTCGTGCTGCCAGTCCTACTGTCACGCGTCTGCTTGCTACTGTCGTCACTGACCCCTCTTTTGAGTCCACTGCTGCGTCTGCTCTAGTCGCTGAGCTCGTTGACTTTGCTGCTCGCTGTCGTCTCGACTACGCTGCTGGTCTTGTTGCTGAGTCTGCGTCTGTCTGTCCTCCGTCCGTCGGGGGTGAGTGTGCTCTTGGCACGGACGTCCTAGAGGACAGACAGGAGGAGTTACAGTGTCTAGCGGCTGCTTCACCTCATCTCGCGTCTGTACTGCTTGCCCCTGAGGGAGACCCGGATGCACTAGACATCCCGACTCCGCGTTCTTACGCGGAGGCCGTAGAGGGTCCCTACTCCTCTCAGTGGCAGGCAGCTATGGATGCAGAGATGGCTTCCTGGAAGTCCACAGGCACCTACGTTGACGCGGTTCCCCCTCCTGGGGCGAACATCGTCTTCAAGGCGCGGTACGTTGCTCGTGGCTTCAGTCAGCGGCAGGGAGTTGACTACTTTCAGACCTTCTCTCCTACCCCGAAGATGACCACTCTTCGGGTGCTGCTGCACATAGCCGCTCAGCGCGACTACGAGCTTCACTCTCTCGACTTCAG